AGGGACCACTGGGCTCTCCCCCGGGGGTCCCAGCCCATCCCTCACCCTCCCGTTCCTCTCAGGTCGGTGCCTGTGGCTGACACCACGTCCCTCCCCCGTGCAGAGCCTCCCCCACCACCATGGGCAAGAAAAGCAAACTGGGCAAGAGCCGCCGGGATAAATTCTACCACCTGGCCAAGGAGACAGGTGAGTGCCCACCTGGCTGGGGGTGGGGGCTGAGCCCCCATGCAGGAGCCCCTAACCCCCCAGTGTCCCCCTAGGCTTTCGCTCCCGCTCCTCCTTCAAGCTGCTGCAGCTCAACAGAAAGTTCCAGTTCCTGCAGAAGGCTCGGGCACTGCTGGACCTGTGTGCAGCCCCCGGAGGGTGGTGAGTGGGTCAGGGCCAGGGCCACCAGCAGCCTGGCACACTGTCACGGTGTGCTGTGTGTGCTCTGTTATGGTGTCTCGGTGGCAGAGCTGGTCCCAAACCTTGGCAGCACAGGCCAAGGCTTGGGGATCTCTTGGATGCTGTTGTAGCTTTGTTCATCTCTTCTTCCCTCATCCCTTCCTTCCTCACCTCGTCCCCCCTCACCTCTTCTCCCCAGGCTCCAGGTGGCTTCCAAGTTCATGCCAGTGTCCAGCCTGATCATTGGTGAGTGGTGGGAGCTGCAGGAACCAGGGGCAGGGACTCTGTCACATCTCCTGGATGTGACCAAAGGAATGGAATCCTTGATTTGGGATCCTGGCGGGAGGAGAGGGTGGGTGGAAGCCACATGGGATGTGCTGGAGCCCATTTTGAGGGGTTCTTGTGTCCTTCCCCACACCAGGAGTGGACTTGGTCCCCATCAAACCCATTCCCAACGTGGTGACACTGCAGGAGGACATCACCACCGACAAGTGCCGCCAGGTAGAGACCTGTGTCCCTGCCCTGAGTGTCCTCTGCTGCTCTGGGTCCCAGCAGGTCACCTGAGGTGGCAGGGGGTGATGGCCCAGCCACACAGGGGGCTGAGCTGAGCTGTGTGGACAGAGCTTGTTGACAGAGAGGTGTCCCTGTCCCTCAGGCCCTGCGCAAGGAGCTGCAGACCTGGAAGGTGGATGTGGTGCTGAACGATGGAGCACCCAACGTGGGAGCCAGCTGGGTGCATGATGCCTACTCCCAAGGTGGGGTAAAGGGGGACACATGTCCTATCCCACCAGGGCAGGGTGGCAGTGGTATGAGCTGGGGACAGTGACAGCTTACTGCTCTTAGACAGTCATGGAATGGGTTGGGTTGGAAGGACGTTAAAGCTCATCCAGTCCCACCCTGCCATGGGCAGGGACACCTCCCACCAGTCCAGGGTGCTCCAAGCCCCATCCAGCCTGGCCTGGAACACTCCCAGGCATGGGCAGCACAGCTGGTGCATTGCTCCTGCTCTGCCAGCATTGCAGTTCCTTAGCCCTAAACCTGCCTGGTTGGAGTTGTTATTGGGGATTATTTGTAGTATTTCCCAAACTGAGCAGATCTGTGGATACCAGCGAAGGAGAGGTGGGAAGGGAAGGGATCTGCTCCCAGTGACAGAATTTCTCTCCTGCTCCAGCAAACCTGACCCTGATGGCCCTGAAACTTGCCTGTGAGTTCCTCTGCAAGGGAGGTTGGTTCATCACCAAGGTGTTCCGTTCCCGAGACTACCAGCCACTCCTGTGGATCTTCCAGCAGTTTTTCCAGAAGGTCCAGGCCACCAAGCCCCAAGCCTCTCGCAATGAGTCTGCAGAGATCTTTGTGGTGTGCCAGGGTGAGTGGCCAGGGAGGACCTGCAGCTGCTGGGATGGGACTGGGAGAGACCTGCTGATGGCTCTGATTCCTCCATCCCAGGTTATCAGGCTCCAGACAAAATTGACAGCAAGTTCTTTGACCCCAAATACGCATTCAAGGAGGTGGAGATTCAGACCAAGTCTGTTAGTGAGTTGGTCAGCAAGAAGAAGCCAAAGGTATGGTGAAACACTCAGGTGGGACTGAGGATGGGGCTGAAGAGATTGTGATAAGCAAAGTTTCTCAGGAGAATGGAAGATCTGGGGATGCAAAGTGGTGGAAGAAGCAATGCTGGGGAGGTTCTCAGCCCTAAAATTTGGTGCAGCGATGGGGAAAGGGTGGTGCAAGATGTGAGGCTCAGGATGGGTCAGTTAAATTCTCCCCACAAGGTTGGCCTGGGTTTGTGTCTCTCTGAGGCATACTTAGGTCACAGGATAGTAAGGCCATGTCAGGTGCCTCAGCTGGGCATGGAGGTGACACCAAGCTCTGTGTCTGAGGTGGGGCTGGGGGACATCATGGAGCTGGTGGTTTGGGACTGGTGACTAGCCCTGAGTCGTGTGGACACACAGAGTGGTTAAGGTTGGAAAAGATCTCTAGACTCATCAAATCCAGCTGTGAGACACGTTTAGATGGGCACTGCAGCAAGACATGAGTTAGGTGACATCATCCATCCTTCAGGAGTGGTTTAGACGTTCCTTGTGCCCTGCCCTGGCTCACACAGCCCCTTCCCCCTCCAGGCAGAAGGTTATGCTGATGGTGACACGACTCTCTACCACCGTTTCACCCTCATGGACTTCCTCAAGGCTCCCAACCCCGTGGACTTCCTCTCCAAGGCCAACGAGGTATGTGCCCGAAGTGAGGTGACCCCAGAGGGATGAAGAGAGGGTGCCAGGTGCCCCAGCTCCTGTCCTTGTAGAGAGGAGGCTTGGCCATAACAGCCCTTTGCCCTGCCCAGATCACGCTGGGGGACACGGAGCTGGAGAGTCACAGCTCCACCACGGAGGAGCTGCGCCAGTGCTGCAAGGACATCCGCGTGCTGGGCCGCAAGGAGCTCAGGTGCTGGGGGGACTGGGACAGGGCCTGAGGCTTGGCCTGGGGGGCATCTCTAACTGCTTCCTCCCCACCCAGAGCTCTGCTGAACTGGAGGACGAAGCTCAGGAGGTTTTTGGCCAAAAAACTGAAAGAGCAGGCGAAGGAGATGGATATCAAGTAAGGACTACCCTGAGGTGTGGGATGGGGCTGGCCCCAGCACAGCTGGGCTGAGTTCCTTCCTCTTGGCAGCCTGAGCTCTGGGGAGGAGGAGGAAGGCAGGGAGGAGGAGAAGAGGGAGAAGAAGAAAGCGCTGAAAGCTGCAGCTGATGAGGAGGTGAAAGAGGAAGAGGAGGTGGAGCTGGCGCTGGCAGAGATGAAGGCCAAGGAGCTGGCAGAGCTGAAGAGGTAAAAAGACCTGAGTGAGGAGAGATGGGAGAGCACAGGGGACTCCAGCTGTGGGGACAGAGGGTGGCAGTGTCAGAACTTGTCCCTCTGATGGTGGGTCTGGGCTCCTTCAAGTTCTCTGCTCCTCCTAGAAGGTGAAGCAGCTGTTGGGACAGTGGTGTGAGCCCCCTGTGTCCCAGGGTTGAGGACCCCCCACAGTGGGTGACAGTGCTGCTGAGGGAGATGTGGCATCTGTGGATGAGCCTCTGGGGTATGTGTGTGTGAGGCAGGCCACGTGGCCTCATTCCTTTGCCTCCTGCTGCAGGAAGAAGAAGAAGATCCTGAAGGAGCAGCGGAAGCAGCGTGAGCGTGTGGAGCTGAAGATGGACCTGCCTGGTGTCTCCATTGCTGACGACGGGGACACCAGCATGTTCTCCCTGAGGAGCATCCACAGGACCCCGGTGTGTGTGGGAGGAGGACACTGAGCTCCCAGGGCCACTGGGGCTGGGACAGTGCCTGACGAGTGACTCCAGGGCCACTGGAGCTGGGACAGTGTCTGACGAGTGACTGTTCTCGTGTTGCAGCTGCTGGATGAGCTGTCCCGAGGGGACATGGCCTCAGCAGATGCTCTCCTGGAGTTGGGTCCTGGGGATGATGACATTTATGTCTCAGACCATGAAGAAGGGGATGATTCATCTCTGGACAGTGACTTGGACCCTGAGGAGCTGCTGGAGATCGAGGCCCGACAGCGCAAGCTGGAGAGGGAGAGGAGAGAGCAGGGAGGGAAGAGGTGAGAGTGGGAGAGGCCTCCCTGGGGCAGGGGCAGCCTTTGGACAGCTCCAGTGGTGGGCACAGCCTGTCCTGGCTGGGGGCACTGATCCTGCTGCTCTTTGTCACAGGGCGAAGTCTAAGCAGAAGGAAGAGGAGGAGGAGGAAGGGCAGGAAGGGGAGAATCCTCTGCTGGTGCCCCTGGAAGAGAAGTCAGTGCTGCAGGAGCGACAGACCAGCCTGTGGTTTGGGAAGGTGAGTCCCACTGGGACAGAGATGATGGGGCAGCCTCAGCCCCAGCAGTTCCCCAGGACTGCCCTGAGCCCCTGACCCACTGCTCCCCATCCCAGGACGCCTTTGCTGGCATCGAGGATGATGCAGATGAGGACCTGGAGCTGGGGCAGGCCCAGATGTTGGCTGAGAAGCAGCGTGAGTCTCAGAGAGGTGAGTGAGGGGGCTGCAGTGCTGGGGGGCATGGAGGGACTGTCCCATGGCCCAGTCTGTGTGCAGTGTGGGGTCTGCCCCAGCCCTTCCTCACCCAGTGGTTCCCATTCCCAGACAGAGCAACAAAGAAAGGGCAGAAGAAGCAGAAGGTGCCCCAGGAAGAGGCTCCAGCTGAGGCCCCACCAGCCCCAGCCCCAGCCCCTGGCACCGGGAACACACAGGATGAGCAGAGCAGTGATGACGACAGCAGCAGCGACGAGGAGGGGTGAGAGGAGGGTCTGGGTGCTCTGCCCCTGCTCCACAGTCCCAGGGAGCTGGGAGATGAGGCCCCCAGCCCTGACCACACTCCTCTCCACAGCCCACCAGCCCCCGTGGTGAGGCAGCGAGGCCGTGTGGAGCCGTGTGGCTTCGAGGTGGTGCCCATTGAGAACCCAGGTGAGATGGGGGACCTGAGGGTCTTACTCAGCTGGCAGTGCTGCTCCTTGGCTCTTGGTCTGGTTGCAGACAGGCCAAGCTCTAAGCTGTATGTGCCTTGCAGTGAAAAGAGCTCGAGTGCTGGATGCAGAGGGCCTGGCCCTGGGCTCTGTCATCGCCACCTCCAAGAAGGCTCGGAGAGACCTCATCGATGACTCCTTCAACAGGTACCTGGAGCTGTGGGGGCTGGAGAGGCAGCAGTGTTAGTCCTCCCCCAGGGGTGGCAATGAATTGGGATGGGGACAGGACTCCTCATCCCACTCACAACTGCCCTGAGTCCCTCCCCAGGTATTCCTACAACGAGGACGAGGGGGAGCTGCCCGAGTGGTTCACGGAGGAGGAGAAGCAGCACCGGCGCAAGCAGATCCCAGTGGACAAGCAGACGGTCGAGGCCTATCGGCAGCGCTGGAAGGAGATCAACGCTCGACCCATCAAGAAGGTGGCAGAGGCCAAGGCTCGCAAGAAGCGAAGGGTGAGTGGGGCTGTGGGCCTGAGTGGGCACTCCCACCCCCCTCCCAGGGGCTCTGATCCCCCTCCCTGGGGCTCCAACTCCTCCCAGGGCTTCTGTTCCCCTTCTCAGGGGCTCTCTTCACTTCCCCAAGACCTATGATCCCCTCCCAGGTGCTCTGTCCCTCCTCCTATGCCCCTATCCCTGACCCTCACTGTGCCCACAGATGCTGAAGAAGATGGAGCAGATGAAGAAGAAGGCAGAGGCTGTGGTGAGCACAGTGGACATCTCGGAGCGGGAGAAGGTGGCCCAGCTGCGACGGTGAGTGGCCAAGCTGAGATCCACCTCCTTCCTGGTGGGCAGGGCTGGTTGGTGATGCCATGTCCCTGCAGCCACAGCGTGGGGACACCTGTGTCACCCAGCAGGGCCAGACTGGGGGTGGCAGAGCAAGGAAGACACAGAGCCCACAGGAGGGGTGGGACCATGCTGAGCTGGGTGCTGAGCTCTGACCTTTCACCCTTGTCCCATAGCATCTACAAGAAGGCTGGGCTGGCCAAGGAGAAGCGCCAGGTCACCTACCTGGTGGCAAAGAAGGGGGTAGGACCCCGTGTGCGCCGTCCCGCCGGTGTCAAGGGCCAGTTCAAGGTGGTTGACAGTCGCCTCAAGAAGGATGTGAGGGCTCAGAAGCGCAAAGAGCAGAAGAAAAAGCGCCACAAGTGATGTGGGACCTGCACTGTCCCCAGCAAGGGACTCTGCTCAGGGCTGGCTCCTTCCTCCACCACTGCCTTGGGAGCCACGTGTGCCCTCCCATGGGCACAGGACTGTGACTGATGCTGTTCCTCAGTGCCTTGGTGTGGCTCTGCCTCCTGCTCTCCCCTGGGGCAGAGAGGAGTGCTTTGGCCTCAGTGCTGCAGCACTGACCCCTTCCCACACTTGCTGCATCTCCAAGTCTCACCCTGTGGCCATCACAGGAGCATCCTGACCATCCCTGCTGTCCACACAGATGGTCTGAGGCTGCCCAGGACTGTGTCCTGCACCTGGGCAAGGTGGCACTGCCAGGTCCCTCAGTGTGACAGGCACAGAGAGGACTGGGGGGTGGGTTCTGTGTACCTGCTCACACCTCAGAGCCCACTGCCCTCACCTCACTTCATCTCTGACCTCCACCCTCCTGCCCCAGCAGCTGCCCTGTCCCCTCTGTCCCCACACCCTGCTGGAGTGTGACCCTCAGGTTGAGGAAAAGAAAGACCAAGTGAAAAGCAGCACTGGAGGACATGTCTTTAATTTAACCCAGGGCAGGGGCAGGGGGTGGTGTGTTTTCTGTCAGCTTGTGCTGGGGTTGCAAGAGTGTCCCTGTGTCCCTCGTGGTGACAGTGGCACTGTGTGGGTGTTGGGGAGGGGGTGGGAGCAGAGACCATCTGTACTCCGTGGCTGAGAGAACTGGTGAACGTGGACCAGGCTCCAGGCTGGGTTAGAGGTTTTCCTGTCCATCAGCCTCTTCAAAATGGAAGAATATGCTGTGAGAGGAGAATCCCCCTGACCTCCCACCACCCTTTCCTGCCCCTGACCTCCAGCTGTGACCCCAAACCCACGTGTGGGTGATCCAGCAGGTGCACAGGAGGAATGTCAGGGCTGATGGGGTTGAGCCCCTTCAGAGAGGCACAACTGCACCCCACAGCCTGGACACTTGGGTCCTCCCTGACTTCTCACCCCCCAAACTCTGGACAGCAAGTCCCCAGAGTTCAGTGCAGGGCTCCAAGCTCCTGACTGGGTTCCTCCACCCTCACTCCCTGCCCAGGTTGGCCCTTGAGGGTGCCCAGCAGGGTCCTGTTGGTGGGGTGACCCCCTGCCCTGTCAGGCTCAGCCCCTACCTGAGCTGCAAGGGGCACTGTAGGCAGCATCCACACGATCACCTGCAACGGGAAGGAGCCAAAGCTCCTCAGTGTGAGCTGGAAGCTCAGCCAGACCCCCTGAGCTTTTGGAGCTGCCAGGGGTGGCAGCAGGGCCAGGGGCCACGTCCTGGCAGGGCTCACCTGTCTCGTAGTAGTCATAGAGTGTCACAGTGGCTGGCTGCAGGTTCCTCACTGGGAAGTCCTGCTTGGCTACGAAGGCAAAGGTCTCCTCCTCCTTCGGCAGCTGTGGAAACAGCCCAAGGGTGAGGTGCAGCCACCCATGATGGGGAAGCACACAGAGTCCTGCTCCTGTCCCCATGCCCCATCTCACCTGGTCCAGGTAAACTGTCACCTGCTCAGGCTGCACCTCCACCTTCTTCACCAGCCTCTGCCTCTTGAGCTGCAGGGACATGGCTCAGGATGCTGGGGGGATGCTCCAGCACCCCGAGCAGATGCCCCTCTGTGTTGTCCCAGCAGGGTGGGTGTCCCAGAGGGGGTTCAGAGGACAGTGGGAGCTCCTCACCTCCACCACGGAGCTCTTCTCCGGGATGTAGCCAGAGGGCAACTTAGCCTCGATGACTACCATATTGGTGGAGAGACGTTTCCCCGTGTACCTGCAAGAGCAGAGCCCCAGGGTGGGCTTGGCTTCTGCCCTCCCTCCTCGGCCGCCCCTGTCCCCCCCAAACCTGCCGTGCCCGCAGGAGGAGGCGGAATCCAGCCCTGGCATCCCCCGTGCACTCCCCGGGCTGTGTCTCCACGCGGAGCTCGAGGGTCCCAGCGCTCGGAGGGGGTGGGATGTTATAGCGCAGAGTCACCTGCGGCCAGGCAGGGGTTAGAGCCCGCGGGTGGGCACAGGGTGGGCACGGGGCACCAGGCTGCACCCACCTGCACCAGGGCACAGCCCTGTCCCCGGGCTCGCAGCCCGTACGT